AGGCTAAAAATAGCCGCAAGTTGAAGCGCGTCGACGACGTTCGCATTGAGAGCAAATAAAATGAAAATAAAAAAATATATATAAAACCAGCATCAGCAACAACAATAACAACAACAGCAAACAACAACGAGAAATAATCGTAATAAAAGAGCAGCACATAATATGATAGCGGCGTGCACCTTTATAAAAGGAAAAAGGTAGCCAAAAGGCAAGAAATGGCTAAAGAGACTGAATCCTAAATATACCAGAAATTTGAAACGGAATCTAATTGGAAATGCGATGATGCCTAAGTTAATTTTAAAGTGGGCTATTTTTATCCACAGTGATTAGGCTCGATATTAACTAAGTGTTTGTATGTCTTTTTAAGCTGTGTTACAGTTATTGTTAATGATTATATACAACAGCATTCAAAGCTTATGTTAGTGCTGCCCTGTTAACAGCATTTTGCAGCTTACATAAAGCTTAATGATAAATTATGTTCGAGTACATCAATAACAGTTTGGCATTTATGTTAAATTAACATAAGATCAACATCTTTGCAGCAGTTAAACATTGTGGCGCACAATTTCTGCCCTCTGATAAGGTTCATTAAATCTGATAAGGAAACAGACCGACTCTCTATATAGCTACGAATCTGCTATGAAAACATTTCCGATTGCCTCAGGGCTTAAGAAAATTCGAGACTTTGTTTAAAATCTCAGAGAAATGAGAAGCTTTAACATAATTTCAAGCAATTAAGTTAAATTTCAATGGTATTTCGACAATGTTTACAATTGGCAAACATATTTGGCAAAAAAACAAACAACAAAAACAAAATATATATATATACATACATATGCTAAGATCACGCATAAAAATGGGCATTGGGAGGTTGGAGGAGGCAAGCATACAAAGCCAAGAGCCATGGGTGCCATGGCAAACTAAGTAAATCAAATAAAACAAATGGAGGGGAGCAACAGCAATAACAGCAACAATAATAATAACAACAACAACAACAGCAACGCCACTTCAAACAGACAATAACAACAGCCAAAGGGGAGTAAACTGAAACAACGGCAACGCTATGCCATGTAAGAGCAGCACAACAACAACAACAACAACGACAACAGCAACAAGAACTAAAAGAAACCCAATAACATAAAAGCTAAAGAATTTTTGCGCAAAAGGATGGAAGGCGACAACCGAACGACTCAAACAACTGAGGGGGCCAAGCACATGTGTATGTGTGTGTGTGTGTGTGTGTATGTGTAAGTAGAAAAACCCGCTTACAGCAGCAAAAACGGCGGCAGCGACGCCAAGTGACGACCTTGATAAGTTTCACACACACAAATACAAACAAGCGTGAACACATACAAAGCAAAAATTGCTTACGAAAAAGGAAGGGCAGCCAAGGAGCAGCCTTTGGGGGCAATGAAAGAGGCCCGCGCACAATGTGTATGTGTGTGTATGAGTGGGAAGCAAATAGGGTAGGCACAGTACATGTATCACACCACAATCGATGCTAGCACAGAGAGAGAGAGAGAGAGCGCAGCGCAGTGTATGGTGAGTTTCGCGCTGCCCAACACACAAACACATACACGCAATCATATTCGCTCGCTCTCTTTTGCACGGGCATCAACAAGTGGCTGCGGCTGTGGCTGCTCCTGCTCCTAACTCAATTCGCTTTTGTGTGTCTGTGTGCCGCTCTTTAATCAACAGCGCGTGGTGAGCTTTTAGCTGCTGCTGCTGCTGTTGCTGCTGTTGTTGTTATAATGTTGTACAATTGTACTTGTGCTTAACATTACATGATATGTGCATGTATACATATGTATGTATGTATTTGTGTATCTTATCATACTTTGCGTTTTATTATTGAATTTCTTAAGTCGTCCCCGCTGCTGCTGCTGCTGACGCATATAAGAATGCCAAACAAATTGCGAGCGACCGCTTGTCTGCCTCTGCTGGCGCGCGCTCTCTCAATTCACTCTCTTTACTCTGCTCTCTCTGTCTCTCTCTCTCTCTGCCTTTGCAGTCAGCTGTAAGTCAGCTTGAGCTTCAAATGTTATTAAATATATAAGCATTGATATGCTGCTATATATACTATATGTATGATGTTTAGTGTATAGTGGAAAATTTCTTGTAGTGTATTTATCAGGAATGTAGCTAAATCAATGCAACAACTACAGCGGCAACAGCAACAACAACAACTTTAAATGATCGTGCAACGTGCCTGAAATTATAAAATACAAAATTCAACGCGGAACCCGCCAACAGCAGAAACAACAACAAAAACCGGCGCTGCACTTGCTGCCACACACACAACCGGCTCAGATCAACAGACAGACAGACAGACAGACAGTTGGACCGCTGGACAGGCGCACTGTGTGCAACGTCTAGTTTGAGCTTTGAACGACAGGCGAGCACATGAGAGACAACAACCCATAATTAATCAGACTGCCAGGCAACATTTTTACAACAATTTACAATTTACAATGTACAGACAACAGCCAACATTGTGAATTCCAAGCAGAATCCTTTACAACAAGAAACGGAGCGACTTGGAAAAGCCCTGGCAACAAATAGTTGCATACTCTAACCATTTCTTATCGGCTAAATCAGTTGATATTAAAAGCTAATATTGCGTTCTTATTGGATTCGACTCGATCTTATTAGAAATCCCATTGTACTCATATGACGATATCCTATGCTGATTCCTATTGGAAATGCGTATTTATATTCAATTCGACAAATGTTCAATAATATAATGCTTTTTCATTTAATATAATGCTTAAATTAAATTGTATTTAATGGGTTATTATATAAATGGGTTGTTTAATGTTTGTTTTCATCATCATCAAATTCGTATATAAACTTCTTTTTAAATACTAGACAAGACTTAATATTCTAATTTATGTTATTTATGATAATTCTTGAATATATTTTCTCCTGTTTTTTTGTTCCTCCATTTCTCTTTCTTTCATTGCTTCGTCTAACTAGTTTTTGGCTTTTATCTAGAAATTAAATTATTGTCTTTCCAAAATATCAATTTTATGGACTTACTCTTACTCCTCGAATTAAATGCTAAGCACAAGAACATGACAATAGAAACATTTTTGTTTTCTTTTTTTCTTATTTCTTTTTCGCTATTCGAACATACAGCAAATGGCTAAATCGATGTGTGAAAACGAGTTTTCAAACATTAATTCGCATATTTTTACAAATTATATTAAGCTCACACATAAAGAGTAAACAACAACAACTATAATAATAATAATAATAATAGTAACAACAACAACAAATACAAGGAACAAGCATTTTTTTCGTGTACTGTGAATAAAACTCGTTTTGCTTGTAAAACTATTAAATAATTTAGCTGCCAGGGAAAAAATTAATTTATAAAACGAAATACAAGACGAATTACAATACTATAAATAATTAAAGTAAATTTTATTATGAGCTCAACAAAGGAAATGTAATAAATTACAGTCGAGGATTAAATATTTGGAGAAGCCACTGAAGCTTAGCTCAATTGTCTAGCTAATCTGATTGGAATCGCTGTCTTAGGGAAATAGCTGTTTTAAAAGGGAAATAATCTCTTAAGCTTCGGCATTCTATTATCTCATTACTAAGCGCTGACTCAGCCCATTGATAAATAGTTGTATTTAACAATATGAATATGCATTTACATATACAACAGATACATACAACCCTATATACATATGTATGTACGTTTGCGTGCCTTTTAGAGGAGGCGGAGAAAGAGAGCGCAACTTAAAACGCTGTCAAAAATCTTAATCAAATCAAATGATTGACACTTAACGTTTCGCGCAGTGTAAGCTCGTCAAACGGAAAATTTGTATACTTTGTGCAAATGACTAAATTACAATAATAATGAAACAAAAGCAAAAAAGTAAATACAAAATACCCCAACAAATACAACCGTGCTAAAAAGATTCCAGCACAAAGATATAATTTAACTGTTACATTATCATTGCATGTGTATGCATGTGTGTGTGCGTATGATTTAATATACTCTAATATTACAGTTTGGGTTTTTTTTTCACTCTGTTGAGTTCAGTATTTTAATGTAACTAAATAGGAGTAAAGAGCAAGAGCGGGAGAGAGCATCCACACTCTCCCACACACACACACACACGCACACACATATGCAATGTGTGATTGGAATTAATCAGGAGTGCACACTGGCCCTGAGAGCGCATTAAACTTAGTTTTACAACATGCTCAGCATAAGCCTCCGAGTGTATTACACCATAAAGCTGTTCTACAACTGTGCTACAGCAGCAAAGAGCGTAACATTCTTCTTTGATCAGCGCGCTTAAGACGGCGAGCCATGCACTCCTCCTCTTTCTTACAAATGAGAGCGGCGGCGCTGAGAGAGTCAAGGCAGGCAAATGGGGAAATGTCATTGATCCACCACACGTTTGGGCAGCGAATCTCGCTCTTGTCTGCTATCAGTCGCCGCTATCCGGCTGCTGCTTTGCTATACAATGTAAGCGGGCACAGTGGGACGAGTGAAATGGGCTGAAGTATTTGTCATTTAATTGGATGAGCGCGAGGCTGCGACACTGCGACTATGCTGCAATCAAAGTACACACGCACACACATATACGTATATTAGGGAACAGAGCTTGGGCTTTTTCCAATATGCAAAACAAACTTATTAAAGTGGATAGACAAGTTTTAACCAGTGAGAAGCGTGCTGATAAAGCAGTTTGCGCTGGTCAAGCACACTGTGCGAAAGAGAGAGCTGTAATGCACATAGAAAACAAACACACAAGCACACTTACAAACACACGCAGGGACATACAGTGGCTCAGGCTCAGCCTAAATATCCATAAAGACTCGATAAAAATAACTCAACATTGCCTGCAATCAATTTTAAAATAGACTCAACTTACAGCTGAGAAGAGGAAGAGAACGAGGCACAACACAAAAAGGAGAAGAAACTAGCCAAAGGCAGACAAACCAAGCCAAGCCAAGGCAAGGTAATTTCAACTTACCGCTGCGCTCCCGCGCCGTACAAGTTCAAGGCCAAGTGGCCACGGCGCCTCCTCTCTGTCTTTTACTGCGTTCTCTCGTCTCCCGCTCTTCGGTTTACAAGCACTCGATGTGTGTGCGTGAGTGTATAAATGTGTTTATAGTGTTGGCGTGCTTTTATCTCTGAGTGTATGTGTGTGTATGGTTATTTTTTTTTTATGCGCACAACCGTTTGCATGCGAAAGAACTTTCGTTTTCAAGTACATGAAGCGCCAGCGCCTCCTTTGCCAGGGCTATTGTTGTTGTTGTTGTTGTTGTAGCTCTTTTCTTTTTAGTGGAACGCGCGCGTGGTGAACAAAGGGGAAACTGCACTTGTTTATAGCACGCGCAACATTTTGTTGCTGTTTTTCTATTCTGTATTTGTTGTTGCTTTTGTTACAGAAATCAACAAATTCCGAAAATTTGTATATGTTATTTGCAAGACTGCACACTCGATCCCCGAAGCAGGCGGCTTTGTAAATTAATTAACACACTCACAGCTCACACACACACACACTCACACAGGCACAACCACACGCACACTTGGCCATATCAAGCAAGCGGGCGAGCGAGCGAGCGCGCGCGCCGAGATAAGGCAAAGCAATTTATTTGCACTAAAATTTTTTGCTTTTTGCACGCTGCCGCTGTCGCTGAGGGGTTACAAGGGGCAGGAGAATATTTCGGTGGGGTGGGGAGGTGCTTAAATTCACCACACACACAATCTCACACACACTGGAATTTCGTCGAAGCAACACACTCACTCACACGCAATCCGACGACGCAAACGCACGTTTCTCGTTACGACTGAGATGGCCAATAATAATTTTTGGCATTCCTGTTCGCATGTCCCGCACACTAGAACAAATTTGCGACGCAATTGGTTTTTCTAAGTTGCGTTAAATGTTTTATTTAGCTAGTTGAATTGCACGAGAATTTAGAAACGAGCAGAGACAACAGAAAACCAGACGACACCGCGATTACGAGGCGCAACAACAAATGGTGAGCGTGCGGAGAGAGCCACACGCCAGAGTTGCCAAGTTGAGAGCTTTTTCTTACGCCAAAAAAGCTTAGCGACAGTGTTGAAAAGCGTGCTGTCAAAAACATATGAAACTCATTAATTTTATTGCTTATAAAACTAAACAATATATTTAGTATATACATGTGTATATTAAAGCATAGGTAAATTAGCTTTTAGGGCATCGAACTCCTTACGATCCAAAGCTTTTAAATTGGTGCCTGAGAAGGGGGATTTGAACTCAACATCGCGATGCTTGTTCACCAAAATCTTTTGCTCTGAATAAATCAGATTGATTTGCTGACTTATTTGCTCCTGATCTGTAATTGGATTATATTACAAACTTGTATATATATACATGTGTGTCTATATTTACCCTTCTTGAGCAGCTGTATGGCTTGATCGCGCTTCATTTTAACCAACATGCTACCAACTGTTATCCATACTTTTGGTTCTGCGCTTTTTTCCATCAGACGCAACGCTTCACGAGTTTCCTGCCTCCGTTTGTCCATTACAGTTAGCTCTTGTTTGTTGACCAATATCTTATCGGCCAACTCTTCTGTCTTCTTGATGATCTCAATGCTTTTATTTAAGTCTGCTTGCGACATGTTTAATGTAATTTTTACTTATGAAACGTGAAGCAATGCGGTCAAAACATAAACAAAATAATGTAGTGTGACCAGCATACGTCAATCCAGTGTAGACAGAGGCTATAGGTGGGATACTCCAACAGCTGTTCGCATCTGTTCACCTCAACAACAGCTGTTTCTGGTTCTGATTGAGTTGTGGCTTGAGTGCGCGCCAAATTTAAATTTGAAAAAATACAAGTTAGAGGCGAAGACACTTAATATAGCTTTATAGTATAAACAAATCTTATTAATGTAAATCTTTAAAATTCGCTTTATTTCAAGCCACACTGCTATATAACCGTTACAAACCAAAACTTAAGATTCTAATTTTGTATAAAATTTCAACATTGAAAGCTGCTTGTTTTTTGCAATTTTAACGTTTGTAATGCGTGAGATGGTTGATCATTTCATAGAGCCACTTGGGCTGATCATGTGGAGCCATGTGGCCAGCATTGCGTACCATAATCTCAACCAGATGCCCGGCGTGCTTCACATAGCCCGCCACCTCGCCATCGATTCGCCAAATTTCACGTGGTGCGATCTTATATTTTTCCGCACCCCGAAACTTGAGCTTCTTCAAATAGTTGCGAGTCAGCGGATAGGCCACAATGATGTCCAATTGCCCGCTATAGATGCACACGGTGTAGGTATTGAGAAGCTCAGCGATCCATGGAGCCACCGTGTCCATGACGTCCTCCTTCAAATGCAGCTCTACCTTGTTCTCCTTATCCAGATCATGGAAGGGCTGGTTGCCCACATGAATGGCGCGTCGAGTGGCACCCGCCTGCAAAAACTTTCCCAACTGGGCATCCGCCGGATTTGGTTTAGTATTAAGATAATTATAGTACCAATTGTAGCCGGTCAGATTGCTAAAGATCGAGCCGTTGGTCAGATCACCATTGATCAGCGAATCGAAGACCTCGAAGGCGCCACTCATATCCCGCTTCTCAATCAACTCGGCGCCCTTCATCTCGGCCTCATGAAACTGGATCAATCCATTGTCATCGATCAGGCCCAGCTGATAGAGATAGTCGCCGTATTTAAGCTGATGCAACGGATCGGAAAGCCCATTGCCAATGGCCACGCCTCTCAGTGGAATATGGACCCGCGTCTCAATGGAATTCTGGACTTTGTGTATATGATAGGCCAGAGCGGGAACATATTTACCGGCATAGGATTCGCCGGTGACCCAGAAACCGGAGGAGGTGCCCCAACCGAAGAGTTCGTATAGCTGCATTACAGCCTCGTGAAGATTCCGGCCCACATCTTTCTCGTTGCGGGCGTAACCCTCGTCATGGTCCGTGAAACTAAAGCCCGTGCCCACAGGATTATCTATGTAGATCAGATTGTGTGTCTTGCTCCAGGTATAGTTACGCAATTGTACTTTGCCCTGACCCTCGAGCTGCAGCGGCCCATTCTCAGTGAAGAGCCCAAACAGCGAGGAGGCACCGGGTCCACCTTGCAGCCAGAGCACAACTGGCGCAAAATCCGGATCTGTTTCACTGGGGAAATACCAGAAGAACATGTTCGAATTGTAACCCTTGTCCACAGTCAGATAGCCCGCATAGCTCTCCACATTGTGGAACTGGGAGCCAGAAACACGCGCCATTTGACGCACTTTTTCCATGGGCACCTTCTGATCTTCGATGAGGGGCGTTAGGAATAGCGGCTGGCCGGGATCGACGCCATCGTTGAAGTACTTATAGCGCGGATATGGATTGACAAAGCTGTTTCTATACGGTCGATCTGCAGCGGCAACAGCAGCAGCCGCTGCGATAATCACAAGAGCACAATGAATTGCGTTTTTCATTGTTTTTTTTTTTTTCTTGCTAGAATAAATTTGTTATTTAATCAGTAGTTGTGTTGAGTTGCTGCTCCAATAACGCCCCCTGGTTCTTACCCTTTACTATAGATAAGCAAACGTTGCACTTTTGCTTTTGCTCCGGCTAAATTATAAAACTCGTCTGAGCCGGCAAAAAAGATAATGCGATGCAAAGCAATAAAAATTTAAGAATTAAGTAGTTCCGTTGCTGAACTAAGAATAATCGAACAGTCACAAAACTATCGATAGGTCTTAGATTATTTTTTGAAAATGGAAAACAGCTAAGCAAAAATTCAGCAAAAAACGCGCCTGAACTTCTTGTTGTTCAAATGAGCTAATTACAACTGAAGTGATATGCAAATAAAAAAATAACAATAAAGATACTAAGTGGCGTATAGGCTTTTAATTTTACCTATTTCTAGCTAAATTTAAATTCAAACTCGTTTTGTAACTACCGAATAATCAAAAGAACTACTTGCACCTGTTAGATGGCTGAGCACTGTTATCGATAACAGCTTGGCCAAACAGCTGATGATTTGAAATTAAAAATGTATTTTGAAAGCCAGCTGATAAGAAATAATGAAGACAATTGAATTTAAATTGCAAATAATTTGCGTAAGACTTACCGACATGGAATTGAAATTAACTGCTGCACAGCCCAACACCTACATAAATTAAGAAAGCCCAAATAACCGTTAAGCGAATATGGGTTAAGCGACAACAACAAACGCCTTCAATTACCGCTAAAAATGAGTCATGGATAGCAGCGACGCGTCGTTCGCTGCTTTCGCTTTTGTTGTGGCATCGCGAAAACATTCCACTTTGGGCAGCTCAACCAATTGGACGTGCTCCATCTCCCGCTCTCGTTCTCCCTCTCGCTCTCTACTTTAACTATTGTAAGTACCTACAAATAGCCTGATTACGCATATCTAACACATACACACACCCACAAACACACAGATAAAATGTTCGATTTCAATTTGGAATTTGCGCGTGGCGGCGCCTTCTTCACCAGCGAGCTTTTCCAGCTGCTCGCAGCCGGCGGACTTAAGCAAAACATCGTCTTCTCGCCATTCTCGATACAAACCTGCCTGGCCTTGGCCTTTGCCGGCGCCCAGGGCGAGACAGCGGATGAGATAGCCAAGGGATTGCGTTTCGTTTCCAACTTCCCGCCCGAGGTCGCTCAAACCTTTCAGTTCGTGCTGCAGAAGTACAAGGACAGCGATCTGCTGAAGGTGGCCAACAAGCTGTACGTGCAGCAGGGCAAGCAGCTGAAGGCCAGCTACGAGGCCACGATCAAGCAGGACTACAACTCCGAAGCGGAGTCCATTAACTTTGCATTGAGCGATGCGGCTGCCCAGCTCATCAACGGCTGGGTGAATGCCAAGACCGAGGGCAAGATCACCGAACTGGTCACGGCTGACAGCTTCGATGACAACACACGTCTGGTGCTCCTCAATGCGCTCCACTTCAAGGGCAGCTGGGCCAACAAATTCGATGAGGCCAGCACCGCCGAGGACGACTTCTGGACAACCGAGGAGCAGAGCGTTAAGATTCAATATATGAATCAGAAGGCCAAATTTGGCTATGGCTACTTTGAGGAGCTCAACTGCACTGCCTTGGATATGCCCTACAAGGACTCCGATTTGTCCATGTTTGTGCTGTTGCCGCAGGAGCGCGAAGGTCTCAAGGACCTGGCCGAGAAGCTGAAGGGCGTGAATCTGGTCGATTTGGCCGACAAGCTGAATGTGGAGGAAGTGCAAGTGAAATTCCCCAAATTCAAGGCCGACTACTCCATCGAATTGGCCGACAAACTGAAGCAGGTAGGTTCAATACGGTTAAGATGTGGGATATATTATTAATATGGGTTTAGATGGAATATATGCAGTTCAAAGTTAAGTCTATATCTATCAATAGCTCTATGGATTAGCTCAGTGTGAACATATCTTTATAAGATTTTGTATATAGATATAGTCTATATAAATATAGGATAGATATACCTTCTATGGATTTAGTATAGGCAGTTTTTTATATTGGTGTAGATATAATATAATATGGTCAGAAACATAGAATATATCGTAACACTGGTATACCCTGGGAAGTAAACTCTACATTCTCCAATAGCAATAGACTATATATATGTATATATATTTTATGTACTTAAACTCGCTCTTTGATCACATCCATAAAAATACCGACTACCAAATTTCCTAATCTATATAATATGTATGTCTATATAATATATCAATTTGTGCTTCCCTTTCTTTTCTTTAACACGTCAGTAGTTTTTGTTTTTTTTATTATCATTCGACTTTAGTTTCAAACTTTATTGATCAGCTCCCTATCTTAGGAAATATCAATCGGAATTTAGAGTACTTTCATTTCGGTGGTTTATCAGGCTTTGAGATAATGTTGGGGTATTTAATATTGCTTTCACGTTAAAGTGACAAATTTGTGGTTCCTGCTTATGATCAGATGTCGCTCGTGCATTCGGTAACTCAACTTAACTGCACTTGAGTCGTAGACGCATATCTTATCTCCGGCATGAGCTCATCATTCATAATGTATTTAATCATTGTTTATTTTTGTAATACTTCAACTGATTGGTTATCTCGTTGTGGAATTCTTTGCAGCTGGGCATCACGAAAATGTTCGATGAGGGCGCCGATTTCAATAATCTGCTGGAATCCCCCGAAGGGATTTTCGTCTCGAAGGTCTTGCACAAGGCGACGATTGAGGTGAACGAGGAGGGCACCGAGGCCGCCGCTGCCACCGGCATGATCATGATGACGCGCATGATGATGCTGCCACTGCAGTTCCAGGCGGATCGTCCATTCCTCTATGTCATCTGGAATAAGAAGAATATTGTTTTTGCTGGCGCTTTTGTCACTGCACCAAGTGCTTAAAATTAAAACCGAAAAAAGCAAACAAAAAATAAAAAAGAACTCATTAATTTATTTGTTATTTTTATATTGATTTGTATTTATTAATAATAAAAAAGAACAATGGCACATTTAATTAAAGTCTTTTATTTTGAGAAATAGAATTTATTCATTTAAAAATATGTTTTGCATTATGAATATATAATATACTACAAAACTGTTTTTTATTTAAATAAATCTAACATATTTATATATATTCTATTGATATACAAACATAATTTTTAATTACATCTAAAATTTATTTTTGATTTGTTATAATTTCTTCTGAAAATTTCCAATTAAATTTTAATTTTAAAAATTAATTTTTATTAAAAATGTATCATTAAATTTCCTACTGGGTCTTTTTAAGTGCGCCGATTTGCTCTAAGTTTTGCGCGCCGCCAACTTCACGGTGCACCCAGCCAATTGCTCTCAGTTCATTGAGCCAGTTCCGCGCTGAACTACGCAGTCCGTTTCGTTGGTGCAGAAAGAAAACAACTTAAGTACACACATATATGTATATATATATGGGTAATGCGGGCTGAACAATTAACAGTCATGTGGCAATAGGCAATATTAGCATTCGCAACAATTTTGAGCAATGTCACTGCGTGCATTAAGGAAACGGGACAACCAATTCAATCAAAGTGCTGCCAGAGCAACGCTCTATAAAAAAGCAAACAATAGCAACGGGAACAACAACAACGGCAGCAGTAGCAACAACAACAACAGCAGCAGCAGAGCTAAAAAGTTAACGTCAGCTGGAAGCCTGTTGCGCCAACGTCAGCTGCTGGGACGTTCGACACATTCCAATCCGGATCTAACGGCATTTCAAAGGACCTGCACGAATCACCTGTTGCGTCGCAAATCGGAAAGCGATGCCAATTGGGCCATCCCAACGGGCCAATCAACGAAACCGTTAACGGCTGCCAACGCCAAGTCCGAGATTTGCCTGCAGCGCATCAGTTCGCACAGCTACGAGACGGCGAGTAGGACACTGACCTCGGCTACGATGCTCGGTGGAGCGCGTTCGCATCGAGATCTGTCCGCTGTCCCGTTGGAGGCGGATCGGGCGCCGCGCCGCATGAGCGAGTGCAGCATGGGCTACAGCCAGGCGAGCGGCAGCTATTCGCGACGCACCAGCTCCATGTTTGCCAGCCAAATGATGCTATCCTCGAGTGCCGCGGCTCCTGTTGATCCCAATGCGATTTTGCGTGTGCCCATCATTGGCTACGAGGTGATGGAGGAGCGGGCACGCTTCACCGTCTACAAGCTGCGCGTCGAGAATCCCGACACGAATGACTTTTGGCTAGTGATGCGACGCTACACGGACTTTGTGCGCCTCAATGGCAAGCTGAAGCAGGCCTTTCCCCACATCAACCTAATGCTGCCGCGCAAGAAGCTCTTCGGGGACAACTTCAACGCTGTTTTTCTGGACAATCGGGTGCAGGGCCTCCAGATGTTTGTCAACTCCATCATGGCCAAGGATCAGCTGCGGAAGTGCAAACTGGTGCGCGAGTTCTTTTGCCTGGACGAGCCGCCCACATACTCGGAGTCCATGGAGGAGTGTCGAGTAAGTGGGCATAGATAAAGTACCAAATATAAATATGTATATAAACATGTATATACTTCGCTTCCATAGGCAATCTTTGAGGCCCAGGAGGAGACCATTGCGCACTTGAAGCTGCAAATACAAAGCAAAAATGATCTCATACTCGGGCTGCAGCAGAAGCTGCGCGAGGAAGTGATCGAGAAGGAGCAGCTCAAAGAGCAACTGAAGTAGCATAAATTATATCCTATATATATAAATCACGCTCTATATATATATATATTCCTTCCCGTTCACAGAAATCTCAATTTGAACTGTTCGCACTGCTCGTCGGCAAATGAAAGTTTGGCGCTGAAATAAAGCTAGGAAACCACTCAAACAAGGACATTGATTGGAGGCGTGTCCTTCATGTGTGCGTGTGTGTGTACAAAATTATGCTGAGCATAACTCTAGATACTCACGCACGTCCACAAAACATATCTCCCCAAGTGCATATCAAGCAATAAGCAAGGCTCACTATATAGACAACTATA